CTTCTTTCCGGGATACAGAAGTAAGTACTAAAAGTAAACTGAAAATTTCACCAGAAGTTCTTTGATACAGCAACTACAAATAAATATACATTCGTGTGTACGTTTTAATTTCGTCGAAAGACACTTATTATCGACGAATGACCAATTCGCACTTTATACTTGTCAGAGTGGGAGCAGTGCTGTCCAGTGTGCGGTGACACCGAAGATCGGAACAACAAGTGATGTGTGTGTGTGTGTAGTGGTGTGTGTGGGGTATAACCCTTTGATGAAGTACACTCGCGATTGAGACTTCATTATAGTGGTTTGGTGTGTGATGTGTTGGTCTGTGGTGTGATGTGGTGGGTGTCGATCGACGTTAGTGCCTACTTTTAAGTGTGGTTGGTGTGTGTTGTGTGTGTGCTAACGCTCGATGATAAAATATATTGTAAGCTGTGAGGTAGATGTTCTTGCTACTGTAGTTGTGTGTTGCGTGGTGTTTGTCTTATAATTGGTGTAAGATTGGGATTACCTGTAATATGATGTCAACAACAAATATGTACTTGTTCAACCACTGTATCTTCGCTCATCTGTGTAGGATAGTAGTGACAGTCCAGCTCAATCAGAGGACTTGCGTGAGATTAGTATAGAATCAACATGTTGTGTATACTATATAGACAATCATCGGTTGTGGACTACCTCCTGTTACTCTCTGTGTAATAAACTGCCGAAAGTAGAGTAAATTCTCCACTCTCATACCCGGTCCCTCCATCCCGCGCTCTCAGATGTGTGTCTCTAAGTTTATGGAGATTACATACACTATGTAGTATGTACTCCTTTTCAACTTTGAATCGGCCGGTCCGAGTGTGATTCTGACTCGTTTCAGGTATTTCAACTATTGGAAAAGTTCTAGAGTCCTTGTCTTGTCTAGTACTGTGACTGTTGTGACGTCTGGTTATTGCGGACTGTCTTAATCACGATCTGGATTTTGGACCCAGCGAGGATATCTCGTGCACACCTTAGTCAGCTTGACTTACAACGATTCTGTAGAGTGGTGCACATACATGTTGTCTGTCCTCCAGGCGATGTGTTAACGGACTGGCGACAACTAGGTCCACGATTCTTCAACAGATTAGACTAAACTAACACAAGACACCCTCCTGACGCAACAGGCTATATGATACGATAGTGGTAGTTGTGTAAAGATACTCAAAGGCTGCTGATGGGTAAACTTTATAGAAAATTCGAAAAGCTGTACGCGCTGAGTACAATACCAATACCGGTCGCTCTGACAGCGAGGGGGATGTCTTAAATCAGTCCTCCAAGCTATTTAAACTCATAAGTTGGAAAGTAGTTTTTAATTAATTGGCTTTTTTTCTGACATTTTAGAATCTCATTTTAGAATCTCAAAATAATATGTCGAGTAGGCGTTTCAAACTCGGCACAATGCCATGCAGAGTGAGTAACAAAAAACTGTTGCCTCGTCACCCCTCAAACCCATCTCCAATTCGAGCACCAACGCAACCCTCACTTCTAGTCGTTGATGTTTGTACGATATTGGCGCTACATTTGAATCCAAGTGGCATTTAAACGTTTTGAAAAATCTTGAATCCAACTTGCTTTCAGTTATAGAAACCCTGAAAAGCATCCGAGTACTGTACAAATGATCTCTATATAACAATTTACGGTGAAAGTTGTAGTATTACTTTTGTAGAAACTACAGCTTGTATCTTAAAGCATTGAACAAAGTGCCATTGCATTTGCTTAACAAGCTGAGTTTTAAAGTGAGCTGAAAGAGTCCTGGTAGTTTGTTGTTACTCATCTTCCTCCACAGACCTCACTGGACTCGATGGGGCTGCAGAACCAGTTCCACACAAAGAGAGTCTGTGATTACAGGCTGACTAACAACAGGCTGTTACCGCTGACTGATATGACAGCACACACACTCTCACACACACACACACACACACACACACACACACACACACACACACACACACACACACACACACACACACACACACACGCACACTCACATGGATGAATAAGTACCATTTACCGGCCAACCTGAAAATAAAATGAATCAGGAGACGGATCTTCCCTGTTGGAGTGGCTTCTTACCTCTAATTATTTAATCCTCCCAGATTCAGATTGACGTAAATGAAACATCATAAAGGCAAATCCAGGATGATGAAATGTCAATCTGTCATTATCGCAATTAAGAATGTGCTGAAAGATAGACCCACATCAGTAATCTGAGCTTTTTACATGGAGTCATGTGTAATTGTTTTGTAATACCCTGTGTTCTTTGGGGCCCATAGGGATATTGTGATTTACACAGGGTGTGAGCATTCTTTCCCAGCATTGATGTCTCAAAACCTGCTTTTAAAGACGTTCTGTGTCTATACGCTCTGCCAGCCCAAGCATGCTGCTCTGCTACACATTCGTTAAAACCAGCTCTGTCTTAACAAGATTCGTGTTTCAGTGGAAGTGAAACTGGCTCTGTCTTTCCAGTTAAGTCCCCTATTCAATAGCCCCCCCCCTTTCCTTTCTTTCAGTGTCACCCCTCCTTACTTGTTTTTGTGTCTCACTCTCAGGAGCAGCAGGCTTTTCAGCTTGATAGACAGCCTGTGGCCTCCAGAGATGGCTCTCAAAGATCATGGGAACACACCGAGTGTGTCCAGCGTGAGTTCCTACCATACGCACCTATATGATCCTCACCCAGCAAGGGCTTGAAAATATATTCTTAATTTAATAACAGCAGTCCGGGCTGCGAAATAATGATTTTTTTTTGTATTAATCAATTCATCGGCTGACGTTCTCCTAATTGAGTTCTTGTTTGGTCTATAACATATCTGTCACAACTCCTGAAGCCCAAGGCTATGATGTCAAATGTGTTGTTTTGTCTGATATTCAGTTCACTTTTATACAAGACAAGGAGAAGCAGCAAATCAACACAATTAAGAAACTGGAACTAGAGACCTTTTGGCATTTTATTCCACAAAAAATGACTTAAATAATTGAATGATAGTAGATGATGATCGTATGTGGATTTACGTTGTCGTTAAGATAACTTTACAGGGCGCCCCATATTTCCGCCCTTATTTATTACCAGTCCGCAATACAACAGAAATGTACCATTGCTGCAATCAAGTAAAAAGTGTAGATATAACACGAGACACACAAAATCTATTTTAATAAGTTACATTGCTCATCTGCAAGGAAATAAAACATTGGCAACAACTCAGTGCCGACTACAAATTCAGCATATGAAAACAAATACAAAACACACTAACAACTTCAGATCTGAGGAGGCGTTGCTCATTAAGATTTGATTCAAATGTGGGAATTCATATATTGTCATCAACCTGAAGATGCTTCTTGCTCGTGTTTTTTATAGGACAGCAGGCCTGCCGGTGCAGCTCCGAGCTTCTGCTACCTGCTGTCGGGTCAGGAGAGCTCGGTCGAACGCACCGAGGAGCGAACCGTGTCCCCACTTTACCTGCCTCCCAATAAACACACCTTACAAGACATACTGCAGGTGAACCGCGTTCTCTCATACGTGTTCTGCACATTGTGATTACTTGTCTCGGTAATCCTCAGACATGTTCTTCTCTTTTTTTCAGAGTGAGATTAGTCGCTGCAGCTTTGATGCCACGGTTCTGTACAAGAGAATAACGCAGGTACTTTTCCTCTCTTAGTTCTGTAAGATCACTGATTTAACTTCAGAAGAGCACGGTGTCTTCTGGAGCTCCTCGGTCATCCTTTAGAGATCATTTGAACCAACAAACTGATAAGAGCTCTGACGTAGAGAGCAGCGTTCATATCGCTGTGGGTATGAAAGTCTGTGTGAGGCCCATGCGTCCTCTGCCATTGATTGGTGAGACCTTTAAACTTTGACCGAGATGAGATAGCAGCTCAGAACAAAGTGTCGGACTTTGCCTCGTGCGCACACCACTAAAACACCAACACGCTTTATAACGCTGGTGTACAAGAACCCAGCATTGTGTGTTGATAATCTATTCAAAGCTGCAAGAAATGACGTTTTGCATCCAATTTGTGCTTATTTAGTGTTTCCTTTTGAGCTGTTTTCTTTCTAGGTCATGCTGTTTCTAAGTACTTCTGAGTCTGTTCTTTGTGTTTCTGATTCAGAGCAGTGATGTAGGCCAGCGTGAGGTTTGGTTGGTGCTCTCAGACCCAAGTCTTCAGGAGGAGCAGCCCGAGAGGCCGTGCAGGCGAACGGTGGCCCTGTGTGTGAGCACTTCCTGTGCGCTCACTTCCTCTGTCCTCCACGCACTGAACTCCCCCGCTGCCTGTCGCATGTCATTCAGAGATGCCATCAGAGAACATGGTACAGCTTCTGTGCCCTCACATGCCAGTCAGCCACTCTGTCATGAGGTGTTTGATCTCATAGGACTGAGTGCAAACGTCACCCTGACAGTGGTGGAGATGAAATGACTGCGTTAAGTTTATCAAGAACAAAAAGGAGATATTTGTACTTAACTTGCGTATTTCCATTATCTGCTCTTTTATTATCATAACTCACATGGAAATCCAGGGCTGTACTGCAATAGACGTAGAACAGGCCTTTTAAATAAATAGCAATACATTTGTATCTTCAAAAACAGTGATAAAAACAATAGTTGCTATGTGAATGAATTCATTCAACAATAAACTATAACATATACTTATAATTCCAGAGAATTATATTGTACTTGTAAAGTTAATGTATCTGGCAGCGATAGTTACTAGGTAATTGAAGTGGAGGTATATATTATGTATTAGATTTGTAAGACTTTAAATATATGTGAAAAATAGGGTTTATGAAACTTTTTCTTGCTCCAAATGGAGTTTACATCACAACTGCACCTAAACTAGTCAGCTGATTATGAGATAAATACAATCAATAATCTGGTTTTATGTATTTTGTTTCCCCTGTCGTTATATTTTGATTTCTAATTTCCATATCCAGGTGTCCTCCTGTGTGCGGAGCAGTCCGTTCTGGAGATTTGCTCTGCGGACCCTGAGGGTAGTTCTGAATCCAGGTCAGAGTCGGTGTCGCTGCCTGAGTCCCAGGAGAAGACCCTGCCCAAACCTGTGAGACTGGATCCTCTCTGCGCCGAGGTCACACCCAACTCCCTCTGCTCTCTGTCAGGTCTCCTCCCCCCCCCCCCCCCTACTGAGTCTGTGGTTTCTATTTAACTCGCCTCATCTGAAGTTATTCCTGCAGAACCAGCCTGATGGGTTGTTCTCTCAGGGGAAGAAAACCACTTGTTTTTTATACGTTTACAACTCAGCAAGAGGCCTTGATGTGGCTTCAAGACATCGCTTTCTGCTTTTTGTAATTCAGTGTCCTCAGGCTGTCATTGTTTGGGATTTTATGAGGTGAAAACACATGCAATTTGGTTGAATTCATCTCATCTGTCATTGTGTCAGTGAAATAAAGATGCCTGCTCCCCCATATGGCTCTAAATGTCAGATTAGGGGAGCAACAACGACATGAGGGCGCGTTGCATTTCCCTCTAAATCTGTGTTGCATACAGACAGCATATGTGCAACTGAATTACAATATAAAATAACTTTTTTGTTGTTAACCGAGTATAGAGGGAAAGTCTTATTCTAATATTGCTTTGCTTTCTTTGATTATTTGCCAATTATGTAAATGTTGCAAAAAAAAAGCTGTCTAAACTAGACAATGATCTGCATCTGTGGACTTTGTGTCACAGTGGAGGTTATAGTTCACACACTGTGAAGCCACTTAGTTCTGGCCCCTCTGGCTGTACATGTTTAGTCAGGTGCCTGGAAGAAAATAAAACAAGCATATTATCTTTTGCACTCGTGCATGAATACTATCTTCTGGAAATAACCGGTGGAAAAAGCTGAAGACCGGAATGTACCGGAGCCATTTATCAAGAGTTACATTTGGTATCTTATGGCAGGGGTCTATCTCTGCAATCTCAGATACAACTGGAAGGGATGTGTTTATCTCTTACACCCCGTCACAAACATTCACACGCTCCAAATCTATGTATAGATCATTTATGTTTGTGGCTTCAATATTTCAAACTGTTAGAATCAAATGTAAATCAAATCATATTAAAAATAGGCTCATAAAAGTAAACTAAAGAACTAGAAGTACACTGCAATAATTGCTGGTTGTTGTGTCTTAGTATTTGATTTGAACTCTTTCATTTCTGCTTGCAGGCGTGATAGTTGGTGTGGATGAAAGCACAGCGTATTCATGGCCTGCCTGCAACCACTGTGGGAGTGACAGCTTAGAGATTTTAGCTGAAAAACCGTGAGTTCTCAGCTTTGATAAAAAATGTCTCAATGCAAAGAAACATCATGGCATTCACATTATTTTGTCTTTTTTCGACAGACAAAACTTCCACTGTGTTCCTTGTCAGTCATTGGTGGACAAGCCGGACACGAAGATTCGACTGGAAGTGTTCCTGAGTTCTTCGATAATTAATTGCACTTTGAAAGTTAAGGTGAAAAACAGTGTTATTGTGTTTTAAGAATGAGTTTTTATAAAAAAATGCTATGTGCCATAGGACTCATCAAGTATAAATGTATCAACATTTTCAATATGTATTCGCTTTCTTGTCGAGTTTGATAAGAATAGGGCTGCAACTAACGATTATTTGTGTTATTCATTAATCTGCTGTTTTTTTCTAGTCTGTTTGGTCTATAAAATATCCATCCCAGTGTCTCAAAGTCCAAGGTGATACCTTTAATGTCTTGTTTTGTCAGTCTATAACCCAAAGATACTTAATTGTTAATGCAATATTAAAACTACTACCGACATAAAGGGGTATTGATCTTTTCATCTCACTCTTATCAAGAAAAATATGTAGTTTTAGTAGAATTCCCATAATGTTGAACTATTTCTTTAAACTGGAAAAAGGGAGGCATCACTAAAAATGCAAAACAAATGTAGCAGAACAAGTTAGGATGGGTTCAAAAGTTTAGATAAACAAACACCAGTCTTGTTGAAGTGTCCTTGATAAACAAAGTGGTTCCTCTCTAGTACAAACCTGCACATTAATAGTCTGAACAAACAGAATCCTTCCCTGTATGTGCATCTGCATGATTTTATTCTGTAAAACCTGCTGAGACTTTGTAATCAGAAAACTGAGCGAGCCAAACTGATAAAACTATCAGCGCTCTCTTTATCAGCCTACTGATAATCCAGTGCCTATCAGTCTGTTACTCACCGGCCAGCACACTGTGAGCGCTGCATTTGTTGTTCATTAACAACATTAAGGCGATAATTAAAAAGACGTGCAAATCTTTTCATCTCTCCCGACAGCTGCAGGAGAAGACGATAATGTCCATCCTCAACACTGGTGCACTGGAGGGTAATGAGGTACGTATCCTATAACACACTGTTACATAACTCTGGGATTAACTGCTCAGAGCATTGATCTTATGTCAATGTGTCCTGAAAGCACTGTCATCTGCTCATGTCTGGTGATAAGGCCTGCACTGAACAAGAAAAAGCCCTGAGTCATGTGTGTCACTGATAGAGTTAAAGGAATTTGCTGCCAAAAGTGTGATCTAATCTTCAACCCACCTCTTTTATTTAGTGTATTTTTATTTATTTTTTCAAGTTAGCATGCAGTTTTTACTCTAGGATTATTATAATGTATTTATTTTATGACATTAAGGCAGTTGAGCTGTTTATTATCTTATCATTGTAGGCATTCATGCATTTTAACAGGGCAACTGGTGAGTGCAAAAATAGATACTTAAATCAAAATACTGCTGACCAAGGGAAAGTGCACAGGTCAGGACCTTAAGTGCATTCAAAATAATCTTGCAACTTCAGCAGATTTAAAAAATATATATTGTTTTCATGTGCAGCTAGTAGAGGATGTTTGAAAGGGAGTTGTTTAAAAGAATTGATGAGCTTAAAATTCTCTTCATTACTTTTAAATAATGTTTTTTTTCAGTTCCCAGGTTACGATGTGGAGAATGTTCTGGATAAAGAGGTGGGCCCCCTCACCGTTTACGTTCGAGTCGTCACCAGGAAGCCTGCCCTCTGGATCGGCCTGGAAGAGATCTGCCTCTGAAGCTGTCAGGGCAAGTAGCTAATGTTATCAATCCTCATGCCTCAGCAGGCTCCAAGGATCTGCTCACTAGGCCTCGGCCCCCGCCCCCCCCTCCTCTCTGAAGGCCTCCCTGACAGCTCGGGGCTGAGCTGAAGTGAACCGGCTGCATAGACAAGGTCTTGTTTGTGTTAATGATATGTGAGACTGTGGACCAGGAGTTGACAGCCCAAGGGTGGACTAGTGGCATGCAGTCTGTCAGAGAATCCCACGTGCTTCATCAACTATATTGGCTGTAAAGACTTTTTTGAAGTTGTCAAGCAAAACATTTTTTCTACCTCTGTATTTAAGATTTCTGAAACTGCGTCAATAAAAGAATGTATTTTTGCTGAGTTGACTTTCTATTTCCTGTTTCACATTCTCACTTCTTCTACACTCCAGCTGCTCCTACGTCAATAAATATATATAACATGCAAAGACAATTCACAGACCAGGATATTTCTGCACCTTTTCAGCAATTTTATTATAGATTCCATAAACAAAAATGTGTTCAAGGTTTCATACAAACTATATAAAAGATCATGCTCTGGCTCTTATACAAAGTTTGGAATTATAAAACATGTACCATATCAGGTATAACATCATGTAAATGCAGTGGTAAAATAATTTAATACAGAGGAAAATCCCACAAAAATATGGCAGCAACATCATATATTTTCCAGTGCCATTATGGTAAGCTTAAAATACATCTGGTACAGATGGTAAAAACGAAATGTCTGTTGAGGTATGTCTCCTATTATGCTCAGTTCATAGGATCATTGATCTGTCACCGTCTCTGTGCACTCGCAAAGGAGGGGTTGGGCATCTGCTTGAAGAAATCTCTGAGCCCGGAGAGCTCTCTGGTTAGCCCCTCGATAGTTTTATGAAGCTTGTCGTTATCAGAGCCCAGTTCAAGCAACTTCTGCTGCATATCAACGTTGCGCCTCTTCGCTTTATCCCTGCTTTTCCTCACAGCCACGTTATTCCTCTCTCGCCTCTGTCGGTACTCCATGCTGTTCCTGTCAACCCTCTTCCCCTTCTCTCTGCCCATCTTCCTCGGGGAGGATTTGGCCGAGCTGACGTTAGAGGCAGGCTCCGGGGTGGTGGGGGGAGTAGGCTGCCCGGTGGAGAGGAGGCTGACGGAGGTCTGTGCGCAGCTCTCGATCTGGGACGGTAGGGGGGAGGAAGACATCTCGCTGTCACTCCAGTCGGACTCCTGCTTGATGGGCGCGCTGAACGCCACCCTCTCCATCCCGCTGTCCGCCTTCCTCTCTGCGTACTGGGCTGACAGCTGCTGCATGTCCCCGGGCATCGCGGGGCTCTGCATGTTGTAGAAATCCGCCTTCTCCTGCTTCACAGTGTTGAACAGGTCCAGGAAGAGCTCGTCGTTGCACAGCTCCAGGTTTGGCACGGCTGTCATGGACTCGATATACTGGCTGAAGTCGATGGCGCTCTCGTCATCGTACATGGCGGGCGCCGCGGTGCTCAGCTCCACCATGGTGCCGTCCTCGGCCGAACACTCGCTCCTGCTGCCCGGCTTGCAGACCCCCTGCTGCGGGGCGCACAGCTTGTTGCTCTCGTAGAAGTTAGCAGGCTCCATTGCCCAACTCATGTTGCATCGTGGAGACACGTAGTGTGAGTCCAGGCTGTATATGTCACACATGAACACTGGTAGATTGCCCACGTGTTTTGGGAACGATATAAACTTGTAAAAAAAAAAGGCACAAAAAGTCGAGACAGCACTGCAGCTTCACTTTCTGTGCACACGCCCTTTTTCTTTGCTTTGTTATTAATATAAAATGTTCTTTGGTTGTGTTGCCCCTTGTTGTTGGCTGTCAGGCTCCTGTCATTGAAAACTCTTAACACTTTTCTGGGGCATCTGTACTTTCGCGCAGTGTTTTGTATTGTTGTCCCTCTGACGTCACATGTGCCGCCCTCTCACGAGCCAGTCAAGTCAAAACGGGGGTCACGTGGTGTGCTTTAACCTCCCATTTGAGGAGAGAGGGGCGTTCCGCTCGTGCCACCCCCTTTTCACTACGATTGTATGAATGGTTCAGAGTTGTTTACATACTGAAGCCTCTGGGTGTTTGTGACTTAGTTTAATTTGTAACCAGCTCTATTAATGTCTCACAAACAAGAAGTTTGTACTAACGTTAAAGTAGCACTGCAAAGTGTCTGGAATCAAAATGCAAATGACACAGTGATAAGTATTATTAGCTGAATGTACTTCAGTGGTAAAAGTACTCATTGTGCAGAATATGTTCAGGTTTATTTTTATATTACTGGATCGTTATTACTTATGCATTAACATATAAGTGCTCTGTATGTTGGGTGGATTTATAAATGGGCCTACTGAGCAGGACCCAAGTGTCAGGGGCCCCCTTTGGCCTTGACCTACAACATTTATTTTGTAGAGAAGCGTACCAACCAGGAAGATATGCAATGAACAAAAAGACACATAAAACCACTACAAAAAGACTCAAAATAACTAAAAAGAGGTTAAATGACTAAGACACAATAGGGCATCAGATACAAGTGATAATTAACAGATGTTCAAATACATTTCAGGTATGTTTTTTGCAAAACAAACCCAGCAACCTCAAAATGTCCCCTTGGGCTCTGAGATTTATTTTCAGTTTTTTGTAATCCACTTCATTTTAATTACTTGCAGCCCTAGTTAAAACTAATTTGACTAATGTGGTTTGCAGCAGTCGATTTGCATACAGAGAGAGAGCAAATGTACGGAGGGAAACCGGACACACACGTCAACATGCATCACATTCTTAACCAATATGTGAACTTGAACATCAACATGTTGTTACATACAGGCAACAAACTATCTGGTCCCATCTTACTAACGGGTTTCAAATCAGATAGATCAGGAAAATAGGAACAGATATTTTGTAGTTTTTTTAAATACAGATGTAGTAAGTGTTTATATGATTAGAGTTGCCTTAAAAAAATCTGTTTACTAGACTAATGTATGACAATGAGGTGTCTTTATAAGCTATATTTATTGGCATTAACATTACGAAAGCCTCTATTTACCCTTTCATCAAAAGTTATTTACATCATTACATGTTATCATATACTTTATCGACTCTTTAACAACCTTTTTACACCTTTGTGTGGTATTTATTAACTCCCATAATGCATGGACATTTACCACCTGTTTACATTAACCTTATTATTTTCTATACTGTCTACTACAACTAGATATCACTTTAGTTTGTGTTTTATTTATAATGTGCATTTTTGAAGGGAACCAATCCAATATTTGCCAAAGACTGCTTAACTTGTGAATATAATAAGGAATTTGATTTTACAATAACCATTTATTTCAGACATATGCATTTTACAGGTATTAATCATGTGTAATAAAACTGAGATACTTTATCAGTTAATTCAAGTATTTGTTTTTTTTCGGGTTTATTGCACTGAGTCATGTTTACAGAGCATTTCGTTACCACTTTAAGGGACACATGTTCTAACACTTCTCGGAAACACTCCTTAGGATTTCCCCTTCAGGAAGTGGCTGTACTTTTCCTCTGTCAAAGCCCTTTTTGAAATGAAACTACGCCACATGGTGGTCACTGAGCGTACTTGCAGTATTAAGTCTGATTTGATAGAGTAATACTTATTTGATTTGTCTCACCAAATAAAGCCAATACAATGCATTATTTTGATGAATCACTGTAATTATTCAATATATTTAAATTTCCTCAGACGGCTCATTTTTCCAAACAAATGCATTATTTATCCACTTACTCTTTAAAATGTTCTTACTTTTAGTAAATATTTATCTTTTTACCTAAACTGATATAAAATGGTTTTGAAAAGGACTATTTCCAGCACCATCTGTCCCTTCTTTGAGTTGTTCAACATTTCGTCTAAAAATAATGAATTGTGAATAAAACGAAAACAGCAGTCTTTTTAAAAAGGTTTTTCTAGCATAAAGTCCTTGTATTTTGTATAAAAACTTTGTATAATGAGTTGGGCAATCCCAAATATCTAAGTTGTATTTCGTTTTTCCTTTTCATGATGCAATTCTTAAATTCTTCAAACAGTGTATTTTTGGTTTTTTATTAATATTTACAGAAATGTATTAACTTCCTGATCTGAGTAATGAAGAAAAACTTCCTGTTCTCAGGTGACGTGGTTTTGTCATGTATTTGTATCTGTTGAATGTTGTAAACCGTATCAATAAAGAAGAGGCAAAAAAATGTTCATTTATTGTTGGGCCAAACCATATTAGCTCAAAGGGTATCCAAGAGAATAAAGCCACGTGCAGGAAAAGCATATCGTAATTTTAATATAATATAGATTAATACCTCTAGCTTAAATTGTTTTAAAACTTAGATTCAATATATTGAGACACTTTATTGTATTTAAATTAAAGCTGCGATCCTTTAATCTCAAAATGAACACCCCTTTGCAGTGGAGGAATCGGCCGGAAAAAAGCGAAGATCCTGGCTTCCTATTGGTCCAAAGTTCCCCGCGAAAATTACGTCACTCGCAGTTTCGCGCCAGTTCTGCTGCTATCGGACGTACACACAAGAAGAGGTAGGATTTAACACCATTTACTTATGTTATTTCTTATTAATCTATTGATCGTGTTTAACGAATCATATTTTCTTTCATCACGCATGTTTGTGAGGATGTGCATCAGCTTTCAAGCTCACTTTGAAGTGTTAAATCATGTTAAAAACTGCATTACTTTTCAGCTCATTGTTTCCTCTGAGCCACATGTCAAATGGTGGAAAAGTTATTGTCTGGCCCAAAACCTTAAATTCAAGTAGCAAAAGCACAATTCAATTATGTATTAATAACGACACAAATACAAAATAAATTATATTTGCTCACATATATTGAACATTTAAGTAAGCTTTTGCTACTTTTCTGAATAATTGGGAGTTGATGCATGAACACTTAAAAGAAGTCAGTGTTTTACCTTTTTTGATGTGATACTAGATAACTGTTTTCATTATACTTTCATTTAGATTAAACTGTAGCTGTCAATTATATTTCAAATGTATTAAATTATAAACATTGGATCATAGTGGTGACAAACAATATTAAAGACTGTTAAAGACTCCCCCACACTCATTAACAATGAACTCATCTGGACCTTGTCTCACTTTGATGACTATATTTAACAAGTGTTTGTGTGGAGCAAAACAAAAGGGACAATAACGTTTTTTTTTATCTAAAGTTTCTGCAAGACTGAGCAGACTAATCTCAACAGAACTGCATGGAGAGGAGATACAATTTAAATTAAATGATTGAAATACAGTGTTTTACAATAATATACACCTGCAACAGTCAGCCTAGTAAAATGTTGTGGCTGCACCAAACAAAATAAACTTTAAAGTATAAGTAAAGCTATTCTCCCATCTTACCTCTAACAGAAAACAAGCCTGATCGAACACAACAACCAGACTTCCATAAGTCAGTTGGCACGTGTTCGAAATACATCAAAATCCTACTAGAGTTCTTGTTTTAGCTTCATTACTATGGCAGCCATTATTCAGGATAAACTTAATTTACTTTAAATGTAATCCTCAGATAAAACAGCAACAATGTCTTCCCCAACATCGACTCCTGGTGGCCGCAAACGAGAAAGGGACGGCAACCCCTCCACACGTAAGTCCATGTCTCTTTAAATCAAAGGAAATCTTTCTCTCAACAGTTTCTTGTGTTTTCAACTGATGCCACAGACTTGTCCTCATGGTTGTAGGTGTCTGTGTGTACTGTTATTAAGTTGTTTGTGTGTCTTTGTGTACCTGCAGCCAGCAGTGAGGGCCCCATCTCTCCCCCCTCTCAGCGGCGCAGGGGCCAGGACTCCTCCAACGCAGACCTGATGCCGATGCCCACCTCCCCCGCCACCGACCTGCTGAGTCCAGCACCCCCTCAGGACACGTCTCTGTTCTCCAGCCCAAGACCCTCAGGTACCAATCACACAAAGGCCCACATTTAAACGAATAGTTCACCCGCTAAAAGTTCATTTGTATATCAATATTTCACCCTGTGTTGTCTAGAATTCTTCCAAAAAGAAGTTGAATAAAAAAAAAACTGAGAAAAGTCTTGGAATTTAAACTCAAAGGGAGTCAACCTTTAACAACAGATGCAACTATATCAAATATCTGCTTTCAAAACTTTCGCACACCTTGTGCAATATGACTGTTCGTACGGAAGGGTTTATAATAGTGAGGATTAAGTGAAAATGCTTTAGTTTGGTAAGTAATGAGCATAAAACTTGATGAGACTTATACTGCACGTGTTGTTTGAGAGTTTGTAAACCGTTCTCTTTGTTGACATTGGTGTCATGCTAGAAATGTTTTCTTTGAGAGTTCTTATACAAAGTCATTTTATGGGTAAAGTATTCCTATTTAACGTTTTTTTTTAATGGACTGCTTTAGCCCTATCCAGTGGAAATGCAGGGACTTAGTAATATTGTTTGTTGTTACACACTTGAGTTAACTCCGGTGTCTTCTTTAACAGTCCTACCCAATGAAGTGGACATGAGCTCCCCTCTGATGTACGGGACCCCCAGCTCCAGGGTTGAAGGGACCCCGCGCAGTGGGGTGCGAGGCACACCGGCCAGACAGCGTCCTGACCTGGGGTCAGTGAGGAAGGGCCCACAAGTCGATCTCCAGTCGGAGCCGGTAAGAGTAGAAATCAGCAGAACAATGCTATCATGACATTGTGTTTCATTTATTGTAATTGCATCAGACATGATAAGAACGATATCTTGAAACCGTTAAGGTTGATGAACTTAAAACCACATTAGTTAACACTTTCTTTTCATGTTTTCTTTTTGTACAGCCAACTGCTGATGGGGCTGTAGCCAGTGAGCCTAACGCAGGCCAGAGGCTGGTGATCTGGGGGACTGACGTGAATGTCGGGACCTGCAAGGAGAAGTTTCAGGTACTTAATCTTGCATTTCAGGTGCTAGAAAATATGTCTAATTCTATGTACAAAGGAGTTAATTGTTTGCATGCTCTGCGTCACTTTGCTTTCAGAGGTTCCTGCAGAGATTCATTGACCCAACCTCCACTGAAGATGAGAACGCTGGTCTGGACCTGAACGAGCCTTTATACATGCAGAAGCTGGAAGAGGTAGTGTACCTTTTTGACATCATGTCGATCCGTTACGTTGGTTTGAATCAAATTGCAATTGATGTTTCCTAGAGAGTCAGTTAAGGTCTATCTCAAATATGAATGTTTTTATTTCTGTGTCACAGATCAGTGTTGTTGGCGATCCGGTGCTGAATGTGAGCTGTCTGCATGTGCAGTCCTTTGATGCAGAACTCTACAGGCAGCTCATCTGCTACCCACAGGTCCTTTTTTTATTTTTAGAATTACCTCATGTGCATTATACAGTACATTTATACATACATTTGTGCAATTTCTATACGAAAAACCTGCACCATGTTTGCATTTACTTTTGCTAAATTCATAAATAGTGATTCATCCATCTCCGTTTCGGTCTTTAAGTTAAAATAATTGATAAAAAAAAAAAAACCGGAGCAGAAATGTACCCAAGTGCGTGAACAGCCACATAATAATGTGTCAGAAAGAGATCATACTCGTATAATGTTTTTTATAACATTTGTATATTATGCCTACCCTTCTCAAAATACAGAACAGTATTGATACAAAAATGCCGGTGCCATGATGTCCTTTTAAAAAAAACAAAAAAAAACAAGATAAATACTTTTAAACCAATGTACAAGTGCTGAAAACAGTGAGAACTGACACTTGGTATTAATGTTTTCACACTTTCAACAGGATAATAATATATTTTATTTGTAGAGAGCTTTACTGGGTACTCAAAGACACTTTACATGCTAACATTCATAAAAACAACAATAAAACGCCCACTTCAAATATATAAAACTCAACAACAACTACAGATTAATTGCATTTGTGAAAAAGTGAGTGTCCGTGTTGAGCTTCTTTCGCCTGCTGTCAAAGTTTATATTTCACTTTCTTGCTCTCTGTCTCCTAAATGTATCATGTTTTCCCTGTGCAGGAAGTCATCCCAACCTTCGACATGGCTGTGAACGAGCTTTTCTTTGAGCGTTTTCCGGACTCCATCCTGGAGTTTCAGATCCAAGTCCGCCCCTACAACGCCCTGAAAACCCGAAACATGAGGAACCTGAACCCAGAAGGTGTGTGTGTGGATTCATTCATTCAGCCCACGTGAAGTGACATCACACTTTTTCTTAGGGCTCCCATGCCATGACATTTCATCCCACATTTAGAGTGGGAGATTTCTGTGAATATTGTTCCCTGCTTTGATCAAACGTGAGGCATCAGCTCCGGGCTAAAGCGTCTGTGTGCCTTATGTGTTGCCTCCACAGACATCGATCAGCTGATCACCATCAGCGGCATGGTGATCCGCACCTCGCAGCTCATCCCCGAGATGCAGGAGGCGTTCTTCCAGTGCCAGGTGTGCGCCTTCAGCACCCGCGTGGAGGTGGATCGCGGGCGTATCGCAGAGCCGGCTGTGTGCCGCCACTGCAACACCACCCACAGCCTGGCGCTCGTTCACAATCGCTCCCTATTTTCCGACAAACAGATGGTGAGAGTTCGGCAGGGTTGATAAAGGGACAGATTGCTTTCACCCGGCGACACCTAATCTCAGAATTTGCCGAGTGTTAATTAGGGACGTGTTGCTGTGGAGGTCATGACATCTGTTCATGTATTGATCTTTCGCTTTTTACAACAGGTCAAAATTCAAGAGTCTCCTGATGACATGCCGGCTGGCCAGACACCACACACATCCATTGTCTACGCTCACAATGACCTGGTGGATAAAGTGCAGCCCGGAGACCGTATTAACATCACTGGTGAGGTTTTCTGAATCTCTTTGTCAGCCAATTACTGTTTTTTATTATCGATTCTTAGTCGTTTTCTTTTATCGTGTGACGTTAAAATAGCACAAAGAAGTCCAAATTGTGCTTTAACATGTTCCAGAGCTGAAGTATTGTCTTTTCAGGTAACTTTTTTTTATGTCCAACCCACTGCCCTGGGAGCCGTACATAATGGCAGCCCACTGCTCCTAACACTAGGATGGGTCATATGCAGAGAAACCGTTTCATTACATACCTGTACTACGACAATGACAATAAGTTGAATCTTCTTCAAAACCCCAAATTACTCAAAACCTATTAAATGAAAAGCAGGAAATGGACAATATTTTCAAAAAGATCTTGAAAAATAACTTTACGCTTCGTTAAATTGGAATTGTGGCATTCTAATATAAAATAAAGGTGTATTTTTTTTTTATATACATATTCCTGTCAATCATAGCCATCCTAACAGTCCCCTGAATGTCCCTGCAGGTGTCTACAGAGCAGTCCCCATGCGTGCGAACCCACGTCAGAGCAACGTCAAGTCGGTGTACAAGACTCACATCGATGCCATCCACTTCCGCAAGACAGACGAGAAGCGCCTGCACAGTGTGGACGAGAACTCTGAGCAGAAGCTCTTCACCGAAGACCGAGTGCAGACGCTGAAGGAGCTGGCAGCCAAACCAGACGTCTACGAACGCCTCTCCTCAGCCCTCGCACCCAGCATCTACGAGCATGAGGATATCAAAAAGGTGTGTGAGTGTGAATGGAAGCAAGCCAAAACATGAGTGTTTTCTGAACAAGCACCTAGTAAAAAAGAGAGTTGCGTGCACGATAGGAAAAAAACTGAAATCCGAGACTGGGTAATAATGTTGACTGCAGTAATGTAGGTAAGCTAGTTTCAGGACTTTTGTGATGCTGACACTATGATATTCTTAATAATAGCTCACTGGGACACTTATTTAACTGGGCACATGTTACTTACAATTAGTTTGACATTTTCAGGCGTTATTGTAATGCTGCAATTTATGTGCAAATGAACGATGTTTTTCGTTTTCGCCGTGTTCCCGGAGCTCCCTGCTTACTTGCCGCTAAAAGTCTGCCCCTCACCGGCAAGTAAGAATGAAAAATGAAACAACCTTTCAATTTCTATTGCCCCCTTTCATATATTCCTATTCAATGCTTAACTTATGTGCCTGGATAATTTAATGTTTTTTAGTTTAAATAACTTCCTTTGGGGGCTTTCCCAAGCAAATACAAAAATCTCTGATAGGCGTCTCCTGTAATTGATTTGATTAAGAGATTTTGATTGACAGCCTCAAACAATGAAAATAATGATGTCATGATAACCAAAATCCCAGGTTATATCTATTCTAATCACATTATGGATATCTCTGTTCTTCAGGGTATTCTGCTGCAGCTGTTTGGTGGCACTCGTAAGGACTTCAGTGAGACCGGCCGGGGAAACTTCCGTGCAGATTTGAACATCCTGCTCTGCGGAGACCCCGGCACCAGTAAGTCCCAGCTGCTGCAGTACGTCTTTAACCTGGTTCCCCGCGGCCAGTACACGTCGGGAAAGGGCTCCAGCGCTGTGGGTCTCACCGCCTACGTGATGAAGGACCCCGAGACCCGGCAGCTGGTCCTGCAGACCGGAGCTCTGGTGCTGAGCGACAACGGCATCTGCTGCATCGACGAGTTCGACAAGATGAGTGACAGCACGCGCTCCGTGCTGCATGAGGTCATGGAGCAGCAGACCCTCTCCATTGCCAAGGTGTGTGAGACACATTTACAGGGATTCGTAGATAAGACGGAATACTCTTGTTTGTGATGTTACAAAAGGCCGTTTCTTAACCTTGTTGTCTTGTCTGTCTGCAGGCTGGAATTATTTGCCAGCTGAATGCCCGCACCTCTGTGTTGGCTGCTGCTAACCCCATTGAATCTCAGTGGAACCCCAAAAAAACCACGATTGAGAACATCCAACTGCCTCACACTCTGCTGTCCAGGTGAGCTCCATTACTCAGCACAGTCACACTGACACACCGGAAGGTTTTGTACAGATTTTGAAGTAAAACGTACGCACTTTATAACCACTTTCAAGGTACTTAAACCAAGACATATCCAGACTCTGGAAGCCTTGAATCAAAATGGTTGAAAAGCAATTGTGAGAAATAAAGTTTATACAGTCAATTCTTTATTAAAGTAATACAGAATTCCTTATCACCCACAGCAATTAATGTATAATGCCCCTTAGTGTGTGTAACAGCTGATCATGGAGTCATGCATTTTACAAAATAAGCAAATAGTTTAGTTTAGTATATTTGTTTTATAGTGTTGTGAACAGTCACAAATGCTTTGTGACTGTTTAGCTTTAGCCAACATTGCTAATTTCCAGCTGTTGTCCCCGGCCCGATGATAAGACACCCTTAAAACCACAATATATCAACAGTTATGAATAGTTCATATGTATTTAATCATATCCTTAACCTTGAAAGCATGACTGTTCAAATTAAGCATTTTCCTAACTCCATACGGATGTTGTCATACTTTTTATTTCTAAGGTTTAGTTTTATTAATTGTCCTATTATTTATTTTTGTTCTCCATCAGATTCGACCTCATCTTCCTGATGCTGGATCCCCAGGACGAGGCTTACGACCGCAGGCTGGCCCACCACCTGGTGTCGCTGTACTACCAGAGCGAGGAGCAGATTGAGGAAGAGTTCCTCGACATGGCTGTGCTGAGGGACTACATTGCATATGCACGAACATACATCCACCCAAGGCTGAGTGAGGAAGCCGGCCAGGCTCTAATTGAGGTGTGTTTTCTCTGAATTTCCATAATTAATGATCATGATGGTAATTGTTAGCAGTCTTTAACAGTTGTGTAATGTTGTTCATCAGGCCTATGTAGACATGAGGAAGATAGGCAGTGGACGGGGCATGGTGTCCGCCTATCCCAGACAGCTGGAGTCCCTGATCCGCCTGTCAGAGGCCCACGCCAAGGTGCGCTTCTGTGAGAAGGTGGAGACCATCGACGTGGAGGAGGCCAAGCGGCTGCACAGAGAGGCCCTCAAACAGTCGGCCACTGACCCCAGAACAGGATTTGTTGACATCTCCATTCTCACAACAGGTATTCAACACGGGGCATTGCAAATATTTGAATTGTTGGAACAGTTTGTGTAGTCAATGTGTGACATGACTGGTGGAGAGGTATTGGAAAAAAGGGACCCATTTTCATAAACTGAAGCGAGTATTGGTAGTGTTTATGATGCCAACAATAGCAGCTGACCGGGTGAGAAACATATTGAAGAAGTACATTAGATTGATATGTTTTTTATTATTATTAATTACAGTAACAATTACAAAAGATCACTGGGTCTAGCTTTTCAAGTGCAAAAATGTGCTGATTTACCTTAACTGATATGGTAGAAAACTGAATATCTTAGGGTGCAGGACAGTTAGTTGACCAATTTTCAATTTGAAAATGTCTCCTTGGGTTTCCTTTTTATTAATGTATTAATTTGTGCTTCCAGGTATGAGCGCCACTGCCCGCAAACGCAGGGAGGAGATTGCCTCAGCCCTGAAGAAACTGATCCAGGCCAGAGGAAAGACGCCTGCCATGAAGTACCATCAGCTGCTTGATGATCTCAGAGGACAATCTGAAACTGTAAATATTTTTGATTTTGCCTTTCATTTACTTGAACATAATTCCATTACATTTAACTACATTTCCTTTTGAACTCCTGAGATGCTACGATTTCAGTGCTGTGAGAAAAGTGTGCTTATTTCTAATTTAGTTGAACAAGAGCAGAGGTTTTTTATTTTCTAGTCCATGACATTGATGTAAGATAACAGTAATGCATCATTAGATATTGGCAAGCAAGTTAACACTGTTGGGAATACAATTACATTAAAGGTTCTGAAAAGCTATGACACTATTTGGGATAAACAAGGTAATCATTCATTATACATTGTCAACACCTCCACTTCCTGTAATGACTTCCCTCTTTGTGACTTTGCTTCAGGCGATCACTAAGGAGATGTTTGACGAGGCGCTCCGTGCCCTGGCTGACGAGGATTACTTGACGGTGACTGGAAAGACTGTTCGTCTCCTCGGCTAAGGCACACCCTGCAATTATGTACAGTCCTTCATTTTAAATGCTATCCTGTGTCAACCTCTTCATGTGCTGTAAAAACTATTTTGTATAATTGAACCACCATATGTTTTCTGGGCGTATTAGATGTTTAAATATGCGGCAACTTATGATCCAGAATAACCACATGACTCATTCAGACTTTGGTGTCTTGTTAAAAAAAAGAGAAAAATAAATGAATGGAGCTAATACTTAGAATTGCTTGTATTTCATTACTTTACCTGTTTTCAAGTTACGTTCTTTCTGTTTTTGTTTCATGGTAAAAAGCTCTTTTGTTTCAACTTGTACATTGTTATGACGAGTTTTACGTCTGTCACTTATTTCCTAAGATGAATTGTCTTTGTAGCTTGCATTGACTACTTGTTAATAGAAGGAAAATAAAATAATGCTTACTAAAAAAATATTTAAGTTGTTCCCATTATGTTTCCCTGAGTATCTTCAAAGTCGTTATCAAAAGAATCTGCACTTATATGTTAGATATATTTTCTCTTGAACACATTGCCTCATAACTCAGTCGATATATATTTATTTAATATGTGAACTGGGTTCTCCACAAAAATGTCGATGTTTGATGGTTGCAACGGGCTCATTTTATGTTCCATGGGTCTTATGTTCTTGATATAAACATTGTAAAAGATTGTTAAGGGCTTGCAACGAAGTTCAATAGCAAAAGAACATGGGAACATGTTTTGAAATGACGTTTTTATGGTTAAAATTAGTTTGACGTTATTAATGGTAACGTTCTTGCTCGTAAATATGAGGGTGTAGGTTAAGGTTAGGAGAATAACATCAGGAAGAATTCATCTGTAGGTGGGTGGTTTCAACATATTGACCCAGGGAAAAACGCACTGAACATTTGACCTTGGGGAAAAACCATTGCTTAGACTTCCTTTGAAAGGTCTCCCTAATGTGTCATGAGAGGATATTGAGTTGAGGAACTTATGACCCTTGGCTGAGAACACAGATCTTCCCGTTGCAGCAACATACGTTTGTAGGCTACTAGTGAACCAGTGTTTTTTTTTTTTTTCGAAAGCAAGACACTGAACAGTGGGAGAAGATATGGTTTACTTTAAAAGCCTTTATACATCATTTCAAATCTATAGCTGTAACATCTTTAAAGTTTTTGGTTCAGACTAATTAAATTACTAAATAGATTTCAAAGATTCAAGTAGGCTACAGTTTATATTCTGGTATATTTTAACATAATGTTGCCATAGTAACTACCACTGGCACAGTTCCATAGGGCAGTCTCGCTTTAGCTGACATTTTTTACACCCATCGTGTTGTCTTATCTGTGACCAAGCAAATATTTACAAGCAATTTGTATTTACTTCCCAAATATGCTCTTTTAATTGTAGCAGTTTTGGGATTGGGAATTGAAGAGGTCAAAACTCTAGAAACAGTTGGAGTATAAAGAAGAATTTTTGTTTGGAGTTGTGCTTCTTTTTATGTATCTGTGATCTGTCGTTTTGTGGCAAATCAAATTGCTTCATACATATTTTTTACAACACTTTTTTGCCAAACTATTGTGAAAAACACATTGATCTGACAAAAAGGTTGTTCTATACTAAGTGTTGCTGAATTTTTTACTTCTTCGTCCTAAACAGCAGACTGTGTTTTGTCAGATGAGCTTTTATACAGTTGATTTACTGTTAAGCCAATTTTCCCTCAGGCTAATGTGTGCTAATTAGCAATAGGCAGAGTAGAGATAGCTAAAGTAATTGGGGTCATGGTCAATCTTATCTTCCCTAGATGTAGGCTCCTATAGCCTATGTCACATTGGTTAGAAGAAAATGGTCCGATGTTCCCCAGTTCTACGTATGTTATTAAATCCGAGTTATAAATGACGTGCTCTTCCACGCCCTATGTTCTTGAGATTGATACAGCCATACAACTGTATGGAGATATGGCAAGCATGGGAATATGGATATGGATCCCATGTTCCCTACTCTACATGTGTGCGATATGATGCAATGTTCTGAGGCCTATGTTCCCAATATGTTTATGGTACATCATTTGGCATAACAAAGGGTCTTAGTAGTAACTTAAGTTATACCAATTGTATTGTCTACGAGTTCTATAGATTCTAGAAACCTGACACATTTGACCTGAAAACAATGGTAAAAAAGTCTTAAAGTTAGTCCAGGTTGCTTGTGACAGTGAGATGTGTGTGAACCGGTTTGCTGTGAACACACCCGCCCGCTGTCTCCCAGATTTAAAGGCTGTGGTGATGTCATAGTTCTGTTTGCTTCTGGACTCGGTTGAAGAAGATGGCGGCCTCCTCAGGTTTGTGTGCCTTCAAACTAACCATATACAGCGACTTAAAGTGTGATAGAAAATGCGGACGCACTGTCATTTCGGGACCAAACGTGGCAACTAGCTCATAACAGACATTTTTACTTAAGTTGCGCGGAATTGTAACGTTTTCGTCAATACCTTCTCTTCGCGAAGCAGTGAATATCACGGGGGCCATATATCCCATGGCGCTAGCAAATAGCTTGCTCCGTGAATTGGCTAAAATAGCTTAAGGTGTAGCAAAAAAGCGTCATTAATGCACGTATTGGCTCCAATGTTTCGCAAAGAAGACCTCATATATTGTATTATGTGTTGTTGAAGTTTAATTGTGCTGTAGACTGCCTAAATATCAGGATTGTAAACAACCGCAGACAGTGCTAGCTATATTTAGCTAACTTGGCAACTACTACTAGAATATTCCATGACCGCGAGGCAACGAGCGACGGTCTCGTTGTGTCCGGATAACTAAGTTTATGATCCGAATACACTTATTACCATTTTGTATTGGCTGTCCAGACACATGTCCGTTGTGTGGATTTATAGCAATTGAGTTGCATTAATTCAAGTCTCAAATATGGTGCGGCGGTTTTGGATGGCTTCTCAGTGACACACCTCACATTGCAACAGCGTCATTGACATGTTAATAAAGAAACCAGTCTCTCTTGATCACTGATCAGCACTTCGCTTGCTAACGTCACATTTTAACAGTTTATTCTCTGTACTTCTAGGAATAGATGCAGGATATATATCAGTGTATTTAACGTTAGGTAGACGCTTGCCTTTGTTAGGTGTGGGAGTGTATAAACCAGATGCTTCCCTGTTGTTAGCACGCAGTCAGCAAGTAGTCAGGGCCCATCCTGGAGTGCTCCGCGTAAAAGCGTGGTTGTAAAACTTGCAAAATAAACTATTTTGTGAGTTACAGAAAAACTCAATTATATTGATACGATTATTTATGATGTTTTTGTAGGTCCTACGCAGTTTTAAAGACATCTTATTAGTCACACGGCACAAAGATATAATTGCAAACTGGATAAACGGGAAGTAACTTCATAATCGTAACTACCTAGTTAGCTGATTCATTTTTAACCCAGCAAGGTCTAAATCACTAGTAGCCCATTGACATGAGTTTATATGAGGGAGTGGCAGACAGACGCCAACGAAACAATGACAGAGTGAGGATATTTGATTTTAAATAAATTGAATCATTTATTTTACCTACATCCTTTGATTATAGTCAGTCAGGCTAATATTCTTGATCTAGTAATGACCAAAAGTGTGCCTATTCTTTAATTTTACTGGCGTTCTTTTGTCCCCCATACACTTAATTTGACATGTTTCAGATTTGTGTACCACCAACCTATAAATAATACCAAGAGTGCTTGGATGGCTTTGACAACAACAATGGTGAAGGAAAATAAAACTATACAGCTCTAAATATACCCGAGAGGCCAACTCTGTCTTTTATCATGTGTGATAGTAGTGGTCTCTACAAAGCCCACTTTAAGACAAACTAGATCCATAACTCGATTCTATATGGTAGTTGTTTCCTCAATGTGCAGCTAATTTGGTTTGAAATAGTTTATACTGCAACAAACTCACAGCAAGTGTAATATTAAACCTAACTACAAAACATATGATTGTATTTTTTTTAAGTTGAAACTTAATATATGATAATACAATCAAGAAATTATGAAATGGCAAATATGAAGAAATGCCGAACATCTGACAACGGCCAGCTATCCAAATGTACTGCTTTTGTTTTATGTTACACAAAACCAATACAAGGCTAGGAGTTGTATACTAAGCGATTTGGCATTGGCGATTTGGGCTTTAGGACATTTGTAATGGTTTTAAACCTCCTTTTTTAAATTATAAAAGAATCAGCTGTGCTAACTTAAGCTTTTTTTTTTGTACTGCAGTTTCTTGTTAACAGCTGACGTATTCGCTGGTACCAGTATTCAACTGGTGAGCTAAAATGAGCTGCTAACATTGGTGTCTTCACCAGTGTTTGTACATTGATAAAGGCATGAAATCTTGAAGGGACTTGGTGAGAGAAAATGTGAGTGCCACTTAAGAGTCAATCCTTCATTGTGGCTGCTGCATACCAGATGTGAAATATTGATTTAAAATGTGGCTTGTGACAGCTCACTTTGATGAATGTTGTCTGAGATTGGAGGAGGCGAAATGACAGTTTGATGACGAAAGGGAACATTTGAATATTCTTTCACTGTGTCCTCTGCCTCAGTCACGGGTGCTTTTTGAAAAAGCTATTTTCACTTTCCCTTTTGTGAATTTGTCTTCATGATTATGAATAGCAGCAGTTTTTCTTAAGTGCTGTCCCCTCGACTACTCCACTAGACATGAGCTGAAAGTAGTGCCTCATTTACAAAGCTGTGAGTGCCTCTCAGGCCGTTTATTTCATGCCAACATCATTTTCTAAAGAATGTATCCTGTCTCTTTTGCTAATTCGTTTTGTACGGTGTTAATAAGTAACTACATATTTTTGAATCATTCATTACAAATTAGCAGTATAGGCCTAATATGCTCCATTGTTTCAAAACAACTGTCAAGACTGCATTTTAAAACATTTTTTACTTAAATATTCATCAGAACATTTAAAAATGTTGAGTCATTTCTTCCAACCAGTGTTTCACATCTCAAACGTATTCTATTGATGCAAAGTGAATGCACCAACAGTGACAAAACACTGCGATAATGACGTTGCAGTTCTATTTTTAGAGGAAAGTCAAAACTCTCCAATCTTTCAAACGTTGTCTTTAAATGTTTTTGTCTGAGCAACAGTCTAACTCGCAAAAATATTTAACAACAAAACAATACATAGAGTGGACACGGAGAACATTGTTTCAGCTCCATTTACTTTATTGATTCTTAAATACCCTTTTGCTCTATAGAACATGTGCCTGTCACAGTTTTCCAACGAGCCATTGGCAAAGGGCTCGTTTGGTCCGAGCAAAAGTTCACTGAGGCTCGCTGATGTGTTTGCAATTTGACCCTGGAGCTCTATGGCACAGAGGAATACGCAACAGTATTACAGGGTTTGGCTACAGAAAAAAAACATATAATACTGTCAAATCTGTTTCTTACA